AAAAAACTTCATGTTGCAGTATTATTTGGAGAAAAATAAGAGCTACTCTTTCGCCGCAACGATTCAATTATGTGGCCATTTTAGTGTCAAACGGAATGTAGAGTATATCCATGATTTCCAATCGAATTTTCATACGCACGAGTTTCTTTGTTCTTATTAGCGGTCAGAAAATGTGCGTTGTTGTTGTTTTTTCAAACAAATTAAATTCAAAATGACAACCGATTTTAGTTTTCAACATGATAAAATAAGACAAATGGATTTTAGTGCTAATATTGTATCAGTGGCTTTTTTATGTCACAGCACAAAGAAACGAAACATGTGAGAGAGACAATATAATATGTGTTTGTGTTTTTGTTTTTCTGTAAACGAAATACTAGTGCGAACGCAACAAACTGTAGAATTTTGACCGTACAGCAGTTATCCCGATCACCGCTTGTTTTTTGTGATGTGCTTCGTCAGTGTTTTGATACAACGATATCGTGTGTTCACGAAATGTGATGGATATATTTGCGGAAATATTTTGTGTCTGTTTCTGTTTTCAATTCAAACGACAGAACATTTATAAAGTATTACTGTTCATATTCCAAATCATCAAAACACATTTGAAAAAAGAGCCATTTCGACAATTCTCTCGTTTGTGATTTGTTATGTTCCTGTTCAAAAATGCATTTTCGGCAGAGTTTTGTGAAAATCAAAGTGGAGTGATTGAGTTGTTGAATGAAAATATTGTAAATTTGTTTGCATAAATTGATTTATCAATAGAATCGTTTAATTCCAGTCATTTTAGTTTTCGAGGCTTGACTTTTTGCAATACAGCAATAATTTGCTATAAATAGCGGTACATTTCTGCATTTTAGTTCAAAGTTACCGTTCGCGCTGTGAAACTATTTGAAATACCATTAAATTTCATCATCAAGTCAGAAAAATAACTTTATTGTATGAATTCGAAAGAATCGGTTGGCAGCGTGAAACAGTGCGTGAAGAACAAGTGGTTCCAATGACTGTGAAAGAATTCGTGAAAGACAATTGGTTCCAATTACAGTTGGGCATTTTCGGTATCTTATTATTCATCTTATTATCTTATCATTCTAATAAGATCAAACTATATTATTACTTATTATTTTTTTGCACTTATAAGTATAGTAATAAGTATAGTTATTAGAATGTTACTAGTCAGAAGACTAATAAGGTGCATGTATCTTATTAGTATAGTTATTAGTATAGTTTCTCATGTTTTCAGTAGTATTAGCTTCTAGTAACACCAATCGAAATATACTGATGAGATACTATACTAATAACTATACTAATAAGATACATGCATCTTATTAGTCTTCTGACTAGTAACATTCTAATAACTATACTTATTACACTAATAAGATGACATCTTATTACCAGTTATTAGAAATGATTAGTAATAAGTAATAACTATCTTACTAGTCTGATGTTATTAGTCCCAACTGTAGTTCCAATCACTGCGGACGTTTGGTCAAATGCAACGCCAAATCGAAGTGTTTCATCAATATGCACAACAATGGTATGCATTCAATCGCAATGAATTGACAACGAACAATCGACCGCCCAATGTGAACAATTTCACGCTTGTTCCATTATGTCGATTCCAGCTGAAAAATATTCGATTGGATATGAAAGATATGTATTATTTGGCGAATAATGTACTAGGAGTGGTGCCCAGTTCTCTCAATCCGTTGACCAATCGAATGAACTTATACAGCTTGGAATATTACAGAAACGGCCATAAAGAAGAATTGTGGAATTTGGTTTTCGACATGGACAAAATCAAACAGATCGGCAAGCAGAAGCAATTGCACTTCCAAATCGTCACCAATAGTGTTTGCGTGTCAATACTGTACGAAAAACCGGCGAAAGCTTGGGTGGAAAATTCGGAGCAGGCCACATTTAACAACATAACCATAACGCGCGAACGCGCCGCGACATCAAGTCAAACGTCGAGGTAAGTTAAATTTGTTATTACAAAAATTATTATTTTTGGAATGTGTTTGAATAGAATCGGAATTATTTAACAGGAAAACATTGAAATACCGAATCCACGGTTCCACTGGCAGACTGAACAGAAAAAGCGAGATCGAAAGGCTGATCGGTTGACCTGGTGGTTTGTTGAAGAAGAACAAATGGATTTTAGGTCGTACCCAGTGATACCATCACCGCGTGGATCAACGTGGAAATCGTACATTCAGCATCGCATCAAAATGCTACGAATGGGAATGCAAGCATATGCGACTCGAAAATATGCACGAATGGATCTCGATCATCACATCAAGTCAACCAAAACGTGTGATAATGTTGCCATGTGGATAACGAAGAACAAACCGTCTTGGATTTTTATCGGTGCTGGAGAGATGGCACCAGATCGGCCATGGGGTATAAAGAAGCGGAAAAGATGCCCGGGAACGCCTAAATTGGCGACCAGCTTCAAGAAACAAGAGCACACAGAAGTCAGTTTCGAAGATGAATGGGGAACATCAATAACGTGTGCCAATTGTCAGGAGCGATTTCCAAGAGAAACCAAAAATCATCGATTCAAAATTTGTCTTAATTGCAAACCGAAACCGATTGTTGGACTCCAACCAATAATTGTGACGAATATGAGCCGACAAGAGCTGAAGAAAGCGAGAATTGTAGAGCGAGCAATTAATTAATGATGCTGCACCAGAAGACATGATTGTGCACACAGTCATTTGGCACCGTGACATTGTTGCCGCAAAGAACATCTTATTCAAAGGTATGTGCATAATTGAATATTGTATTGATATTAAATTGAAAATAGAGGAAGTTAAGTGTTCACTGTTTACATTCATTGTTTAATGTTATGTATTTGCTTCTGATTTCATAGGAATATGTCGACTTTTTGGAATAGCGTTGCCCGATTCATTGCCCGATTCGGGACCTGACAATCCACACCATGCGAACAATGTCAACTGATAGCAGCATAAAAATCAACAATATTCATAAGAAAAATATTATAACAATTTTGTTAGTTACTAGGCGTGATTAGTTTAAATCCAAGGATTGCTATTGTACCCTTGACCGCAGTACGGGTCCCTATTTAGAAGGCTGTGCGGAATATAAAAGAACCCGTAGGTAAGTACTTTATTGAATTGATAGTATATTGATGTTGATTCATAGTTGATTTCATGCACTCAATCTAACTGAATTGTTTTTCTCTTTTTTCTTCCATTGCAACGGTAAAATTGACTGAAACTATACACAAATGTGACGCCAATTGCTGTATTTGCGTTACCAATTGCTACTTGGGTAGTAAATAGAAATGGAAAAAGTGATCGAACTTTTCACACTTTCGGGAAAATAAAGTCACTTTTCATTCCAGAGTAAAATTCTTCTCGTCTGGAATTCCAGATTAACACTTTGAATTTACTGTTCCGAGAAAATAATTTCTATAAATATAAAAAAAGTCCAATAATAGTAACTGGACTAAACCACAATAAAAAAATCATCAAGACATTTAACGATGTTTAATATATTTTTTCAATAATTTCCATACATTTTGCACTGCGAGCCTGAGAGACCTATACTGTTCGGTATTTGTTATCAGTATCACTGTCCGCAGGAGGTTTAAGAATTATATGCATGTGTTCATCGTATAATTGTGTCTCTTTCCTCGTTATGTATGACATACGTTGTGAATTGATTCGGTCTTTTCATCTCTTCGTAATATTATTTATATTTCATTTTCTTTTCATTTGCTTCGAATTTTTTGTAAATTCTCAACATTATCTTAATTATGTTGTTCATTTCAAACAAAATGCGTTCTTGTCATTTATATCGATCTCGCATGCTTTCCGTTTAATTTTACGAAATACAAATTGAAATTAGAATTAAATTGTTGAATTATTTGTTATGTGTTTTGTGTGTTGTATATTGCGTATGCTGTTTGTTGGTTATTTGCGGCTGATATTTTGGGCGGTATGGTGGTATTTCATCTAATCTCATAATTTATGATTTGATGTGAGCCATGTTAGGCCTTCACAAAGTCCATCACCAGACGTTCCACATGATGGCTGCACGTACCAATTTCGATCTCGGATGCGTGTTAAACCCAGTTTTTCCTGCACCTCAAGTGGTTTCATTGCTAAAAAAAAAGAAAAATGAAAAATAAATGGATCTAACAACAATGTCATAATAATATTTTATATTACCATCTGCAAGATCTTGTTTATTTGCAAATATTAAAATAATTGCATCACGCATTTCTCTGTCATTTATTATCCTATGTAGTTCGGTTCGAGCTTCATCAATTCGATCTCGGTCTGCACAATCGACGACAAATATAAGACCCTGTGTACCTGTAAAAAAAGTCGACAAATAGCCATTAGTGTTAGGCGAAACAATTGAATAATCAACATGTATGATCAAGTATGATTGTAAAGTGTACACGCAAAATCATTTTTTTTAATGAAATTGTTATCAAATTTAATGAAATCTCTTGTGGGTAAAAGTTTATCAAATTTCTCCCAATCAATTCGACTACACTACAAGACATCTTTTGAAATTTCTCACCTGTATAGTAGTGTCTCCATAAAGGCCGAATTTTGTCTTGGCCACCAACATCCCAAACATTGAATTTCACATTTTTATATGTTACTGTTTCTACATTAAATCCAACCGTTGGAATAGTAGTTACCGACTGACCCAATTTGAGCTTGTATAAAATAGCTGTTTAGTTGCAACATTTTGGTTAAGGAAAGCAATATATACAGTAATATAATTGAAATATTAAATTTCAAATGCGATAAAACAGTTATCGATTTATTTTTTTATTAATTTTTTTGAAAAAGGATACTTGTTTTACCAGCCGCATCAAGTCCAAGCATCAAAATTCGCATTTCTTTGTTGCCAAAAATTTTTGACAGTAACTTTCCCATCTTGATGTTAAACTTCCTGTTGGATTTAATCGATTAACTAGAAAATAAATGTAGAAAAAAAATATAAACAATGTTCATTCAACACAGGAAATAATAATAATCAATATTTTGAAGCAAAAACGATGATGTCTTGTCCAAATTTCTGAATCTATTAGCTACTTTCTTGTTAAAACAAAAAATTAAAATAAAATGATATTATTCGCCAAACGAAATTGTCCAGGAATGTAAATGAATTCATCAACAAGTCAATTTCTACTTGAAATGAAAAATTATTTTACTATTGAAATTTTTGAAACAATATTGTCCTATCATTGTGGACATTTGTAAGTATCTCAGACAATTAATATGTTTATTGAGCATTGCATTAGATTCATCAATAAGTTTTGCTCACAAACAATGCAGATAATAAAATAAAAAAAAAAACATGCAAAAATAAAAATCAAGCATTGGCCACTCTTATCATTCAATTAACCTTTGACCTATTTCGTGTTATTGATGTGTGTGTGTGTTTGAGTGTAAGTGAATTGACAAGAAAGAGTCACTCAGTGTATAAAAACAGTTCAGCCAATTCACATTTTCACCACAAACGATTAGTAATTAGTTTGACTAAAGTAGTGCATTTTCTACGTTAAAAAGTATCAATTTTGGTATCCAGGAAATTTTAAAGTTATATCTTTTCGTTGCTAGTTACAACAAGTTAAAATGTTGACAGGTCACGTAAATTTTGTTGCATTGGTTTTATATGGAATTCTTGCTTTGAGCATAAATAAGCCTATTACAGCAATTGAGCTGACATCTCGGCCACCATATAATGACTACGCAAAAATGGCACGCTATTTGGTTCATAAATCAAATTGGACATCGATGGGTACCATATCGAGTCTATCGACAATTCATGGTTTTCCAATGGTAGGGCAAATCACTTAATAATTGCTTATTAATTATTAATCGATTCTTTTATTTTGTGATTATCCCCTTAGGTAAATGTTATATCGATTGCGGACAGTGCGAATGGGGCACCTTCAACGGGACGCATTTATTTATTGCTCACCGACTTGGATTTCACTGGACAAGATTTGGCACACAATAACAAATTAACGGTTGAATTATAATCATTTTTAAAAATCACAATTTCATGCTTGCCACATTTTTCTGATGTATATTTTCAACCATATTTTTTCACACAGGCTATGTTCACGGAAGATCAAGATTTAGCGTGCACTTTAAACAATACAGATACTATGGAACCAACTTGTGGTCGCGTTATTTTTACCGGTAAAATACAACGATTGACACCGGGAACACAACAATACAATGAAGCTGAAGCATTTTACACTGATCGTCATCCAGCATCATTGCATTGGCGAAAAACGCATTCATTTTATTTTTGCACACTAAACATCGAGCATATAGCCGTCTTGGATTTCTATGGTGGTGCGCATTATGTTTCAATAGATGATTACTACAACGCGAATTATGATGCGGAAGGTCGCATTAAGGATATTAAGACTATAGAGCCATCAGTTATTGTACCAAAGCAATTATAAATCGTGAAGCATCATGTCAGTATATTGCATTCAGCATTTCATAAATTTAATCAAAAAATTGAAGTCAAGTTTTTTCGATCTTGATCAATCTGAATAACCTTCCTAAATGCATCTTTACTGCAAATTTAAAAATCTGTCTGAATTTACGACAAATAAAATCAACAAACATCTTTACCAAAAAATTTGTTTAAAATTGAAATTACCTTTGCAGAACTCTAGTTTTAGAAATAAAACAAATCAATTCTCAGAATTGATCCCGATTTTTGATATAAATGTTTCACATATTGTGCCGTTTCATTTCATGAGCTCAGTCCAGATAAAAAAAAACATAAATTGTTAATTTAACGAAACTAGCAAAATATTTCGATTAGTTCGAAAATATGTAAACTATGTTTGTTTGTTCTATGTTGATTATTATTATTTGTTAGATTCTTATTTACACCTTTTTTTCTCTATGAATCTTTTTAGGAGAATTTCGTTCTTTGCTTTTAATATTTTGCATTTATATTGAAGTTAATATTTTTAAAGTATTTTCTTCAATAACGTTCAAAGTTTAATAGTGCAATTTGATATATGTGTTTGAAGACATTTAGTGGCAAAAATACTTTTTTCTAAACTGAATTTTCAAGAAAAGGTCTTTTGAACATAACTCATCTACAATTTCATAATTCAGTCTTATTTTCATCAACATTTCTTTCGAATGTTACAATAAAGCACAGTGTTTGGTTAAGATATCTGAAATGTATCTAGATACTTTTGAGATAGTATTCCAATTTTCCGAAATGCATCTAGATATTTTCAAGATTTTCATCTTATCTTTTTGATAAAAGATAAGATATCTTTCGAAAAGATAACATGAAAAAATAAGATAACGAAAATTATTTGAATAAAATTTTGAAAAATGTGGAGTAGATGGATCCGACCTGGTCCAAAGTGTTCTAGAAGTTGAGAAATCATGTGGTATTGAATCATTTCCTTCATCTCATACAATATTATAGAGTAAACTGGATTTATACGCGAGAGTGAGATGAAAAGAGCTGGAAG